TCATCATACAGAGTTTTGCTATGACCAATTTTTACTATGATCTAATGTTAAAACAAACAGTTGCATCTTAGGAACAAATTTTTTACTATGATTTTCAATATAACGATATAGTTTATGTTTTGCAGACTGAATTGCTCTCTCTGCATTTTTGAATAGGTTTCAATGTCTTTTTCCTCGCAAAATTCCTTGGCAGTTCCCCCAGGTTAAGTTTGTTTATCAACCCCACAATTTTTCAACAGTTGTTTTTCCGATTATTTGTTTTTCTTAAAGCTTGCAAAGTGTATTTGTTCTATTTTGTTTCATTGTTTGAACTCTGACAAATCTCGAAAAATTATCTACAGCAACTAATAAATACATGCCTCCATTGTTTTGACTAGCTAGCTTGTCTACAAAAACCAAGTCTATACACCATATTTCAATGATTTATTTAGAAAAAGCTTGCAAAAGTTTGATTTTTCAAGGACGAGATTCACTGTACTTAAAAATCAAAAAAAAGTATGCAAATATTGGCGATGTTCCGAATAAGGCTGATACAAAAGCGAACCAGAATTTGAAATTTTGCTGTCAAAAAATTGCAATAAAAATCGTCTAATTTGATAATGGGTTTTTGATGAAGCGAAATTCTAACTCCACATATCGCATATTTTTTGCATATTTTTTCTCTATTGTTGAAAGTTAAAATCTAGATTGATTACAATTCTAAATTTTATCTTGATTGATTCCATTGTTGTTTTTGCAAATTACTTATTGCACTGATTAACTGTTGTTAGTTTTTCAACATGATATGGTAACTAAGCTAAACCGACAACACTTAACCAAGCAAACGACAAGCTTTCATTTTTTTGATATGCAACGTTTTTCAGCCGGAAAAATCCAGGCCAGGTCCATACTTAGAACCGTTGTTGTACCAAACGTAATTCAGGATTAAATAATATTGAATTAATTTTAACCAAATTATTTCAATTTGTTTGCGACGTTCTGCTAATGCTTGTCAATCTCAAGCGTAATACATAATAAAACAGAAAAAATTTAGTTCTAAGAATTTCACGCTTCAGTTACCTCTTTCTAAGTCAAAGTTTTTTGTTTTTCAAGGTTCAGCTGAGCACAAAACAGTTTGCTCTGTTAATTTAACTCTACAATGAATGAGCGTGTTTATGAGTGAGCAATGCGTTTACAGTCTCACACAAAATTGGAAGTTTGATTTTTCAAGAACGAGGTTCAGACAGCATGTAAAAATTAGATCTAGCTCAAATTAGTTTATTTTGAACTTTGGTATTTGATGGTAACACTTTTTCACAAATAAATAAATCAAGGACAAGCCTATCTTATAAAAAAAGTTATCTCTGTTCCTAAGGACATTTCCTCTATCAGTGAACGGATATATATCAAATGCTTCCGGAAATTCTTCAAAAAAAATCCATGACCGAAATTTCAAAAATCAATTACTCCTTTTTTACTCACTGCCGACAAGTTGAATTCGTTCGATATTTGTGCTTCATGATGATACATACCATTGGCGTTATAAGCCTTTGTTTTGGTTAAAATAAACTTAACAACTGGACAGCAGAAAATAAGGTAGATTGTTTTAATAAATTAAGTAAGGTTCTGGTTTCTCATCTGAGTCATCCCCTAATTTTGCTTGTTTTCTTTTTTTTGTTTTATGAAAGCGTCAAACAAATTGCATTTGAATAGTTTCAGATTTAAACTGTGGCGGGTATCATGCATCCCAAATGAAGATTACGGTCTGTCTCAAATTCAAACTCAAAACTGCTTTCATCTCGAGAAGTACTGGGAAACAAACCTTGTTACTGGGAAACACTGCTTCCAAAATGGAAAACTAAAAAAATCTCTAAAGAAGAATTTGTAAAAGCTCCGTACCAAAAATGGTTACTTTAGTCCAAATTCAATTAATTTGTCAAAAACGTCTTTCCGTCTACTCTTTCAAGAAATGGTTCTACTAGTTCTACGCCTAGACTTCTTTTTTCCACCTAATGGTTCTCAAACTGATTTTGTTTGCCTTTTTACTTTGGAAATGAACGCAATACAACATAGAACGTAGTAAATGAGTTTTTGTATCGCCTACTAATTATATATTCTATAAGATCACAATATATGTAATCAGGGAATGTATCATTGTTATGTCGTGAAAATAGTGGGGATAATTTGGTCCTTATCCGTTTAATATAACTCCTGTCTGATTTTGCTCTAGTCACAACTAAAAAAATGAATTGAATCAAAACTTTGATAGATAAACACCGATTAATCCTCAGGTAAATGACTGGCTATTTTTTAATAAAATCTTATCTACTGATATATATATATATTCCAATTATTTCAATTTTGTGTACTTCTAGATCTTTCCGAACTTTGTCCTTCATTGCTGCAACTAAACCAACTCTACTTGTATACAATCCAGGTTTAAAATGCATCATTTAAATTTTTCTTTTTTCCCTCACTACTGTGTCTATGAGTGTAAACTTTTCAGTAGCGTTTTGGAATAATAAAACGTACGATACTTCTGAAATAGGAACAAAAACTCCATTCTCTTTTATGATGTATTTGTTCCGCTAGAAAAATTGTGAAACAACTGAGAGAATAATAACAGAGGGGATAACAATTAAAAGAAGCATTAAAAACTAACACAACAGTAAACAAAATCCATGACTACTGAACGATAGAAATTTAATTTGAGATTTTTTTTTCTTAAAGATTGCAAAGTGTTTTTGTCCTATTTTGTTTCATTGTTTGAACTCTGACAAATTCTGAAAAATTATCTACAGCAACTAATAAATCCTTCCCTCCATTGTTTTGACTAGCTAGCTTGTCTACAAAAGCCAAGTCTATTCACCATATTTCATTGATATATTTAGAAAAATCTTGCAAAAAGTTTCATTTTTCAAGGACTAGATTCATTGTACATAAAATTCAAAAAAAGTATGCAAAATATTGGCGATGTTCCGACTGAGGCTGAAAAAATTGAGAACCAGAATTTGAAATTTTACTGTCAAAAAAATTGCAATAAAATCGTCTTATTTGATAATGGGTTTTTGATGAATCGAAATTCTAACACCACATATCGAATATTTTTCGCATATTTTTCCTCTATTGTTGAAAGTTAAAATCTTGATTGATTACAATTCTTAATTTTATCTTGATTGATTCCATTAATGTTTTTGCAAATTACTTTTTGCACTGATTTACTGTTGTTAATTTTTCAACATGATATGGTAACTAAGCTAAACCGAAAACACATAACCAAGCAAACGACAAGCTTTCATTTTTATGATATGCGACGTTTTTCAGCCGGAAAAATCCAGGCCAGTTTCATACTTGGAACCGTTGTTGTACCAAACCTAAACCAAGATTAAATAATATTGAACTAATTGTAATCAAATTATTTCAATTTGTTTGCGACGTTCTGTTAATGCTTGTGAATCTCAAGCGTAATACATAATAATACAGAAAAAATTTAGTTCTAAGAATTTCACGCTTCAGTTACCTCTTTCTAAGTCAAATTCTTTTGTTTTTCAAGATTCAACTGAGCACAAAACATTTCGCTCTGTTAATATAACTCTACAATGAATGAACGTGTTTATGAGTGAACAATGCGTCAACTTTTTCGATGTTTCGAGTAAGGCTGAAAAAGTTTGATTAGGGTACAACAATGTGAATTTTTACCGGTAAAAAGAATTTTTGGAAAAAATGGCTAGCAGTGACAAAAAGCAAATTATCTAAATCACCACATGACCAACTCTTGAAATAGAAAAATCAAACTATAAATTATCAAGTCCAAGAGCTATTTGTCTCAGACAGTTCGCGTTGAATCTTGAGATCTTATTTTTCTTATCTTTTGCTAATGGATCTCAGGCATCGGAAACGAATTGTTGTCTGGAGAAATTTTTTTTGTTCGACGATGGTCACTCAATTGATGATTTGGATAATTCAAATTGATAAAGATTGGCAACAAGTTTTTCAGAATTTTCCACAGATGGTATGATCTTTATCAGTCTATGGAGATTTCGAACGTCAAAAACAAGAAAAGTTCAGTGTCAAAAAAGTAAAAGCGAAAAAAATCTAACTGCAGCAAAATTCAGAAAAACCAAATTTCATGCTACTGCATTTTTGGCGAAGAAAAGATGCCGCGTTTTTTTTGACAACTTGCTAACAAACTTACTGCTGCTACCAGTCATGGTATTTTGCTTTGAAACGGTACAAAAAACTGGGTTTTACCTTTAAAAATCAAACCAGTTCAACTTTTCTTCAGCCATCTATTTTTTGTTTTACTTGGAAAAAATAGAACTGACTGAAATACCCAGCCAATGCGGTCAGCGTCGTGGGGTCAAATGCCTGTAGCTAATCCTAGGCAGAGTTGCTAACTTCATTTGAACCTAGTTATTTGTAAATAATTTGCAGCCAATTTTGGTATGAGGCTTGTTTTTGATGGAATGCAATGTATTTATTTTATTATGTATTTATTATGGGATTTCAAAACAAAATTTGATTAAAGAAACAGCAAACATATCGTTTCTGTTATTTGTCTCTAATTTACTTGAATTCTAAATTTTTGCACATTTCAATCTAAGACATCAGGCATTGGAATTGAATTGTTGTCAGGAGACAAACGTTTTTTTCGACGACGATCTCTCAATTGATGATTTGAATAATCTAAATGATAAAAGCTGGTAACAAAATTTTTAGAATGTTCCAAATGTTGCATGATCGTTTCCCATCTAAAAAGAATTCAAACGGCAAAAACGTGAAGATTTCACTGCCAACAAATTTTATGCGAAACTCAGACAACTTAAATCATCACAAGACAAATTTCTGAAAAAAGTTTTTCACATTATAAAAACATCGAAACTAAGAGTCACTTGTCTCAACCAGTTCGCATTGCATCTTGAGATTCACACAAGATTTTCACACATTTCTTCGATCTTGGATATCAGGCAGTAAATAACTCATTTCTCTAATACGCATATAGCTAGATCAAGCTGTTCAAATAAGGCATACTTTTTTTTACCAAACAGAAGGACTTAGGTTTCAAAAATGTTAAGCAAAAACAAATCGAAACTTCAATCAAAAACTTCACCTCCAAAAGTTTGAAGGAAAATCTAGCTCGCTATTCTTACCTGTCGATTGTTTCATTGACTTTAAAAATGAAATAAGCATTGTAATAAAGAAAAACCGAATATAATCAGTAAACAAAACAGCGTCATACTTTTGAGCAATTTAACGCAAAACACTAGCATTTGTATTTCATGTCAGTTTTTCAATCTATCAACACAAAAAAGGTTCACAGAGTTCATTTGTTTGGAGAGAAAAAGTTGGACGCAGTTCATCTGTCTAGCCCTGATTCTTCCACCGATGTGAACTTGTGATGTGCGCCTTGCATGTTAGGATCCCGGGCAGGCACCGGCGGTGGGTTCTCGGAATTTATGCAGCCACTTGCTCCTGCGGAAATACAAGAAGCATTAGTAGCATTTTTAAACCCGTTAAAATTCTGCGGGTTAAATTCTCTGTGATTCTGTGGTTAAACCCGTTTTATACAATTTTCCTATGTTTCTTAGGGTACAAGAACCAGGACTGCAACAATAAACGAAACTGAGACAAATATGATCAAGAAACACAACTGAATAGTGTTTCTTGATCATACTTGCCTCAGTGTAATTTCTTCTGATCAGAATGCGAATTTAGGAGCTTCAAACTTGATCGATCATTGGGCTTTAAAGGCCAATGAACTCCTGAATGCGCAACTGCTAACCTTAAAGCTGCTTCACTTGCCTTTTCTAGCCTCCGGTCCTACTCAATGCAGGACCAACCGTGGGCGAGGGGTGTCATTCAAGCCGGTCACACCTTGAGGAGCCGGATGACACTGGACCTATCCAACCGTGACCGAAAAGGATTTCGAACGCACGACCTTCATTCGTCCTCATTTTTCACATAAAATAATTTCCTTATAGAACTTCTGGAAACCAGTCACGTGTGATGATAAAAATCAATCGGATATTTTCAAAAAATAAACTTAAAGCATCCACAGTCAAAAGGTTTCTAGAAAGAAACATAACGAAGAATCTTAAAACCAAGCAAATATTAAATTCTATTTCGAGTCCTTAACCCTTAAATTCCAATTGCACTAGCGCCTAACTGGTATGTTTGTAATACTCTCGTATTCTCAACCGTTTAGTTAATCTTTGCTAGCGGTCCCTTTGCAGCTAAAGCTTCTCCTGAAAAACGACTATATATATTATAAGCAGAAAAGGCATTGGATGAAACCGACTTATATTGTAACTTCGGTAAAAAACTGGCTAGTAGGCTGGATGCCAGGCTATATTGATGCATGACTGGATGGATAACTCGATTGATGGCTGCATCACGCGATGGATCGTTGCCTGGAAGGATGGATATATGGCTGAATGTTTAGATGAATGGTCGGATGACTGACTGAAAGGATGAATGAATGGAGGAATAGATCGCTAAACGGATGGATGTATGGCTGAAAGGATAGATGGGTCGATGGCTAAAATTATTACTAGATAGGTGGAATGATGGATCGATGGCTGCATGAATGAAGAGTTAGATAGATGGACGGATTGCTCGATAAAAAGACGAATGGATTGATCGATTGTTGAATGTATAGTGGGATGATATATATGACTGGTTGGACTAATGGCTGAGCAAAAGGATGGATATATTGACCAATGGATGGCTGGTACAACGATGGATGGATGGTTCGATGAATGGCTGGAATGGATAGATGGATGAAAATCTCGTTGGATGATTGATACATCGCTGGATGGTTAGCTGGAATGATGACTGCATGATTCGATGTACGGATGCCTCGAAGGATGTACAGTTGTCTGGATGTTGGATGAATGACCAGATGAACGGATGACTGACTGAATGGTTAGATAGCTGCAATGATAGAACGTTCGATTAAAGGATAGCTGAAAGTATGGCTAGATAGAAGGATGGATCGATGGCTGGCTTTATGAATAAATAGTTGAATAGATTGCTCGATAAAAATGGATGGATCGATGGCTAAGAGATCGCTGGATGGATAGATGGCTGGCTGGGTGGATCGATAAATAATCGGGTGGATGAATAGATGAATGGCTGGATGGATCGAAAGATATCTGGATGAATGGATAGCTGAACGAATGGCTGGATAGATAGACCAATGGACAGCTGGTTGTATCAATGATTGGATGGCTCGATGAGTGGCTGGGATGAATGACTGGCTGGATGAATTAATGCAAGTCTGAAAGCATAGATATTTGACCAGATGTTTGACTGAATGGCCGGACGAATGGATGGCTGACTGAATGAATACACGAATCATGCATTGAACGATAGATCGCTGAAGGGATAAATGGTTGACTGGAAAGATAAATGGCTCGATGGACTGATGGCTATAAGTAAGGCTAGATAAGTGGCTCGATCCTAGTTGGATGATGGCTGAATGGATGAATTGGTGAAAAAAAAGATGGATGGATGGATCGACGGATGAATGAATGGTTGAGTGGATAGGTGGCTGGCTTGTTAGTTCAAAAGAAAATTGGTTGGGTAGATTGGAGCAGGGCTGGGTGGATCGACATATACCTGGCTGAATGGATCAACAGATATCAGGATGGATGGATGACTGAACGAAACGAATGGATGAACCAATGGATGGCTGCATGTATGATATGAACAGATGAGTGGTGGGCTGGATGTATTGATACTTGGCTGGATTGGTTGATAGCTGGATGGAAGGATAGATGGCTTGATGGACGGATGACTAAATGTATGGCTAGATAGGTGGATGGATCGATGGCTGTACCGATTTCTAGATAGAAAGATGGACGGATAAATCGATGTCTGAATGGATGGTTGGATAGATAGATGGATGGCTGGCTGGCTGGATCGATAGATAACTGGATGGGATGATTGATGTAAACCTGGCTGGATGGATCGATATGGATGAATGACTGGCTTGATGCATGGATGGATCGCTGCTCGCTGGATGAATTGATCGATGGATCGCTGTCTGGATAGATCAATTAATGGATTACTAACTCGATGGATGGCTGTGATGATGGATTGGATGGCTGAATAGATGGTGGCTGGTTGGATAGAGTGCTGTATGGACGAATGGCTCAATGGATATGGCTAGATGTATGGATGGCCGGTTGGCTGTAATGATTGGTGACGGGATTGATGACTGAATGAGTGACATGATGGATAGATGACTGAATGGAAAAAGGACAGGTAGCTGAATGTATAAATGAATTGCTGAGTAAAAAACAGGGTGGATAGATGGCTGAAAAGAATGCTGGATGGATGTCGAGATGTATGGCAAGATGGACGGATAGCTGAATAGATGAATGGATCAGTGCATGGCTTAATGGATCGATAGGTGGCTGCTTGGCTGGCCGGATGGATCCCACCCTTAGACTGTCCTGCCTTGCCTGGCCCTCACCTGCCTCGCCTTGTCCTCCCCTTCCCCGTTTTCCGTTATCCTGTCTTCATTGCTCTCACCTCCTCAGCCTTGTCTGGCCTTACTCTACCCTGCGAGTATCCCTACAGCCTCACATTTGAGCCTGATCATTGATCTTGCAATCAAACTGGAAAATCAAACATAGCCAACAGACAGTTGGAAAAACGAATAAAAAACAAGAAAACAGAACAAAAATATAGACAGAAAACTTTTTTTGGGAAAACTGTAAAATAGGGAAAACTGGACTGGCACATGTGTATTTTTTTATACCGCTGGAAATTGAGAAAAGTAACGTCCATTTTTGAAATTAGAGTTCAAGCATGTTTTTTGCGGCCTTCTCAATTTAATTTTAACAAGAAAATGAACTGAACTTGAAAAGGAATTATTAGTCAAACCATCGGAACAAAAATTAAGCTTTGATCAGTTTTCTCAAATTGAATCAACTCTATCTAAAAGCTTGTGATTACTTTTAGGAGCCTCACCGGTAATTTTATCTCTTGTCGTAGGTCTGCTGGACGCTCGGTCCGTCGAGTTTAGGGATCCCCAGTTGACGTAATCAGAGGCAGTCTGGGCTGGTGTCTTTTTACCTCCCATGGATTGAAAATTAGTCTGCTGGTCATGGTTAGTAGTTCGCAATGCTAACTCAAAGCTCTCAGGCTTCAACGCGCCAGCTGAATGATCCCCCGAATTCGCGGCTAAAACGCAATAACATATTTTATAAGTAAGGTTAAAGAAGTAATCAAAGTCAAAGTGTATCAGGCTACATTGCAAGTTCCTTCACTAAACTATGATGTATCTTGTTAAGTCCCATTCGTTGTTTCAAACAGCTCTTAACACTCCTTGTTTATGATAACTGGCTCCAAATTAGTTTTTATCGGACATTATCAAATATCTACCTTGAAAATGACCTGCCAGAATTATTGAAACCGAGAGCATGATAATTATTCAGTAAAAAAAATTAAATCGTCTATTCAAACTAGTCCCGTTCAAGCAGTTCATCACGTTTTAGTGACTTTTGGTTAAAATTGAGACCAATGAGCATCTCCAACAGACAGTTGTAAAAGAGTCAATGAACGCAAAGAAAAACGGACTTAATTATTTTTTAAAAACTGGCTCTTTTCCAGTTTCTCACCCCTGGTTAAATTTAAAAAATCAGCTGATCAAAAATTGTTCATGCTGCAGTTCGCATGCAAAAAATCCCAAAAATTAGATCACATATTCACGCTTACACGTTTGATGCAGTTTATAACATGAGAAGTAGTTTTAAATAGTTTCAAACGGCGAATTTCAGAAAAAAGGGGGAAACTGGAAAAGAGCTGAAAAACTTCATCTTTCGAATTTCAAAATGAAAATATATGGCTGAAAAACTCTTTGAATTTCAAGAACAATTCATGATTGACACTTTTTTGAAAAATTCAATTTGCAAAATACTGGTTCAATAGGTGAAGTTTTTATCCCGAAAAATAAACTCCTAACTTGAAGTCGATCACGTTTTTGTGACCTTTACACTTTTGCTGTTCGATAGTAGAGCTGCCTTACTTTCGACAAAGGAAACGAAATGAAGTTGAAAATCAATCAAAAGTCAAACCACGAAAAATCAAATTGGAGCGTGAAAAATTGTTTCAGATTTTTAGTGAAAAAAAATCACAACTATATAAGAGTGTGAACTGCGTTATCATTTTGCTCGATAGTGGAGTTTGCCTTCCTTTCAACGAAGAAAATGAACTGAATTCAAAGAGAAATCAAACGACAAAAAAGTACATTTGAGCCTGAAAAAAAATCATCGCCACCTATATAAGACTCTGAACTATGTTCATCGATCTTAATAAGCAGAAAACAATATTCAGACAAGCAATAGTCCAACAAAAAATTTTAAGACAGAAAGTACAAGTCCTAGCCTGATCCGAGCTAAGTACAACCTTTAACCCAAATCAAATCTGACGCTAAGTCTAAATTGATTCTAGAACCAGTCTATCGAAATATACCCAACAGACATTTGGAAAACTGTTAAGGAAACGGGGAAATGATGGATTTTTTTTCAAACATTTTTCAAGTTTAAGTTTCGGAGAAAAAAAAATATCACATTAAAACTGTTTGAATTTATTTTCAGAACCTTTTATGATTGACACTCTCTTCACAAAACTAACCCAAATAGAGAAAACTGGAACAAAAAGTAAACACAGAAATCTGAGTTGTAAAGCACTTCCAAAAAAAGTTGTGCTTTTACGCATTATTCGCAAAGTAATTGCACAGCGAAATCGGCCTTCCTTTTAGCAAATAAATTTTGAATTGGACTTGAAGGTAATCGAGTCAGACCGCAAAAAATCCAATTTGAGAGTTATCCAAAATTTGAGACATTCCTGGCAAAAAAATCAACACGAATTCTTTAAAAATTGTTTTCTTGAAATACTTTGACACTTAAAACCAGATTTCTGACGGGAATATGCTAACCGTTTTGTTTCGTCTGCAGCAGAGGGGTGACCGTTTCTTGATAGTCCTCCTGCACTCTCGAGTTCTGAAAACCAAACAAATTCAATGTGGCCTAGGAAATTAGACAAGCGAATTAGACGACCGTTAACAATAACTCTTTGTGAATTTATACAATAAGCACTGGTTCAACAAACTTTTTGCTTAGATTGAAGTTATATAGAATATATTATCACAGAAAAAAGAATATATTATCACAGAACTGATCAAATTTTGTAATTTTTTCTGTATAATAACTTTAATTAAAAAAAGTATAGTTCATTTGTGAATTACAAAAACTATACAACTGTGAATTAACCTGATTTATGGTTGACAACAGTGTTTAATCAGTCAAAACTTCATTCAAGTCTATAAACAATTTTTGCGAATCTTGCATGCGAGATATCTTCTAAATTCAGTTATTTTCTGATCCTCTATTTGCTTGTCGTCTAATTTCCTAAACCCCAAGCAAAAGTTGAACAGCAATTAAAAATGCACCAAGGCATTGCAGTTCTATAAATGCAGCAAAAACTTTGCATTATACTACTAGCTCAATTGAGGACACCTTGGGGTGGTCAATAGCTATGAATACTTAGAAGCAAATGCTAAAAAACTGACAATAAATACGAAAAAAAATTAAGGGTTAAAATCATGGCAATTTAAAAAAAAAATCCGAAAACAACACCAGTTTTGAATCTCATTCGCTAATTGCAAACTGCTCATATTGGTAACTGAACTAAAAACAAGTTCAAAAGATCGACCTTTACCCAGAAACCTAAAATAAAGGGTTTATGAGCTTAGAATAACAATATTTCTCAGATGATATAACAAAATTCCGTCGAAAACGTTTTGTTAACAAGTGGAAAATTGACTGAACTAAAAAAAACCACACCAAGCATAGATATTCCGCACTTTCTTCGAAAGTCGGAACAAAAATGATGGTCAAGACAATTATCGTGTTCATGCAAATCTTTCATCTTCTCAGCAGAGCATCAAACATTGATTCACGTTATTGTTCCGACTTTCGTATCGAAAGTTACGGAATACTTGTGCTCGAGGTGGTTTTATTTTCTTCAGACAAATTTTGACTTTCTAACTAGCCATTTTTTACGGAATTATATCAGCCAAAAAGTATTGTTGCCGTGAGCTCAAATTTGGAAAGATACTTCACCTGTGATTATTTTTCGTAAAGTTACGGGAGTTTGAAAATAGGCATTTTGGGACAATTAACGCGCGATATATTTCGCGCAATTAACGCATAAGGGGAGATTTAATCTGTCTTAGAAATCGTTCCAAATTTGTTGAAGGAAGAGATTGCCATGATTGGTGTGTTACTAGGAGCGAAATCTATCAATTTATATGGCGTCTGGGGGGATTATTTTCACAAAAAAATCTCATATCAAAAATCCATTGAACTTTAAAGGCAGTCGGAACATTCAGGGCTTCGCCCTGATACGAGCAGTCAGTCTTGTTTATTGTTTCCTTCCAAATGAAATGGCAGCTAAGTGTAGCAAACAGTCACTACTTGCCAATACCAGGATTGATATCAGCATTTAAAAATGACTTGTTATTACGTAGTCTGGTAAAAGTTTAGCCCCATATTGAGAGGAAGAAAAACAAGCCTGCTCGTATCAAGGGAAAGCCGTGAATGCTACGCCTGCCATTCACCGTCCAAATTTAAAAATGGAAAAAGTCGGAACAAAAATGATTTCGTATATTTTTTTTACAATCCCTTCCCACAAGATACGTTAAGTACAAAGTACGATATGTTGCATCTGGTAACGTCTTATTAAAACCAAATTAACTGCTTCAATTGAACTTGGAATGAATTTTTATGTCGGTGATTCTTTAATAGGACGAAATAAATCGCGCGGTAATTATACCAAATTGATAATTTTCAAACCATCATAGTTTTACGAAAAACATTCGCAGATAAAATATGTTCTTTTTTCGTTCAGAACATCAAAAGCGTTCAGATAACATAAACATAGCCAGCGAATGATCGGGAAAACTGAAAGAATTCGAGGAAAAGATTAAAAGCTATTCAAGATTTTCGTGATCTTAACAGTCTTGCTGTTAGATAGCGGAAGTTAGCTTCCTTTTGACCAAAGAACTTAAAAAATCAGCACTTCTTTCAAAGAAAACAATCATCACTTCGTCACTATCTCTCATAATAATAACGGCTTAAAGTACCGATTTAATTTAAGCAGTTAAAACCGAAGCAAGAGCAGAACTTACATGGGCAACGATAGCTGGATAGCATTGAATGTTTTCATTGCGAAGTTGATCCTTCTCTTCACTGTAACAAACACATCTATGTCAGAGTTGATTATTATATGCAGTACCGATTGGATAATAAAACAAAACAAAATCACCGCGAGCTATATAAGAGTCTGAATTACGTTCATCGACTCTTAATCAAACACTGCAGCCACCAGCATTTAATTCACAAGATACATTTCTTTTGCACAAACACATTGCACAAACAAAAAACGTGTTAAGGGGCTCTAAAAACAAAGAAACACGAATAAAAATATGCCTCAAATGGTAAAGTTCAGAGCAGAAAACCTCTAAGAACTCGGCAAAATTCGCTTTTGGGAAATCAGGAAACAGACTTAAACCATTACACCATAGAATTTGTGAGTTTGAACAACAAAGCCGAAGTATAAACCAGCGGAAAATTACGTCACTTGAAGGAAACTCGCATAACTTTCCTAACATAACAGTTACATAAATGTGACATATATTACGTAGCAGTTACGTGTTATCGGCTGGTTTATATGGTAGCAGTATATTTTCCGGTTTATCAATGGTAATGGAAGCTGCTGAGTTTTCAGACCACTGAGTATCGTAGCCACGCCTTGAGATATTTGACCTTGATTTTGAACGCCCATCGATACCTGCAGTTGCTTCAGGCGAACTCTTCCCAGGTGGACATATGACTATTCCTATTGGGAGACGAAGCATGCCTTGTGGTACCCTGCCAGATTCCTGAAGAAAAACACACAACAAACAATAACTGATGTTCACTTCAAGTAGAAGATTAGACACAGTGGCGAAGCGGTTCTTCGCACCACTTGCGATACAACACAATATTAGCAGTGCAAGCTAGCAGGCAGGAAAATAAAGTCACTAAATCCAAAAATAAAAAAAACATAAAAAATCCAAAACGTTGTCTGGAACCATGTCCTATTTGCGGAAAACACGTCCAGAAACGCAATCGACGGCAATTGATGAAAATTCAAAAAATCATTAACAAGCGGCTACTGAGCCGACGAAACTTTATAATTTCCCGTAGAACCGAAATATAACTGTTATAATGAAAAACTTTGAATCATTTTGTGCGATCCGGAATGAAGCATAAAACCTATTCTTCCTTTGAAATGACCCCAAACTAGGTCACTTAGCCGATAAAAAGTTAAGCCGGAATGAAGCATAAAACCTATTCTTCCTTTGAAATGACCCCAAATTAGATCAATTAGCCGATAAATAAATAAAGTACAAAAGTAATTCAAAAAACAGAAAGCAATTAATTTGAAAACAGCGTACAAAAAATCAGTTCTACGATTTGTCAACTAAGCCGACAAAACATAAGCAGGCAAACTATAGGCCGTCATTTTTTTGGAAAGATATAATTCAAGTTCGAAAAAAAAAAAAGGTTCCTGGTCAGATTCGAGCCCACGACCTTTGCCGTCCCAGCCGTATTATTCGCCTCTAGGCTAAGTGCCAATCACGCATATATATTTGAATTCATTATGAACCAAGATACAGGTAACTATGTTAAATAAGTTGGATCAAGGGAGCAATCTCCTCCCCCCGTAATGACTAAATGGGCTATCCCCGCAAAACAAAAACTGTAAAACGCTATGAAAAGACTTCGACAAACGCACGAAGATGGTTAATGTGTTCATATCACGCAATCAATTGACCGTCTGAAGTTTATTTTATAAGATTATCGAGAAAATTCAAACAAAAAATCGAAATTTATTAGAAAAAAACTTTTATTGCAAAATTTTGTTTGGGCGACCACTACCTAAACGCAACTCAGGAAACCAAATTACACTTCGTGACCATGAATAGAATTAAAATTAAAGTAAAAGCATAAACAACTAAACCGAAAAAAGAACTAGAGTAAAACGATAAATTAACACCGATAACTTTTGAATAGTCAATCTTTTTGTAATTAGCCACACAACATATTATGCGTTTTATACGCCCGAGGTTATTTTCCTCCCTCGCGTGCACTTTGTTTCCCAACTGCAACTGAGACAAAGTAAAGGCATGCAAGGATTGCTGTATTTGGATAGCTTCAAAAATCTGGGTTTGACATCTGTACCATATCGCCTCAAAACGGCGGCGAAATCCTTCGAGAGCGATGTTTGTTGTCGGCTGGTGGTCATTTGTACGGAAACACACAATCCACATCTTTCTGGAACCTGGCCTTGCTCCGTGAGGTATTCCGGTTTTCCTTTCCGCCAAATGTATCCTCGAAGAAATTTTTAAAATCCTCTGGGATCTGGTAGCTTTTGATGACAATTTTGTATCACTCCTCTACATAAAGAAGCGGTGCAAAAGCAAAGGAGGTCAAGAGGCGTATGGACAATTTGAAATCTTTGTCCTCTCGATAATGAACGGCATAACCGAGTTCAAGAATCTTTCTGTACATAGCCTGAGAAAAAAGAAAGCAACACCCCTTTATTTCTGTTTGTGGGAACTTCTCCCTACGAAGCCACGAGTCTAGCGAAGCCCTTACAAAGTCCATCATAACAGAAACTGTTGTTTTCGCGTCTGACTTTAGATTGGACCAGAGTGCGTGTGTGTCTTGACGCTTACCCGAGTGAAGTGCGCAAATGCAGGAGAAAGTTGTGCCGTCAAGAAAACAATGCACTGTGTAGACCTGGTAGAAGTTTTCCGCGCAGCTCTTAAAAGTTCTATCGCTGAACCCGTTCCATAACTGTTGAGAGCATCAAAATCTATTTTCATGCCAAATTTGTCTGACTCTCCTTATGGTTTTGGGGAGTACAGGCATCTTCGAGGAACATTCAGGCGTCCCGTGTACTAATGCGGAAGAAAGTAAATCAATTTTTTCATGAAGCGTCTGTGCAGGTTGCCGCGTTTTTGAGTTTCGCATTGGTTGCATATGTTTCCATTAATGCGTCATCGGGTCCATTCGTATGTTCCTGTGTTGACGATTTCACATACTCTCCCTTTTATGTCCAAAATGCATTGCTGCTTTGATCTCCTTAGTTCGCATTCCCAGTGGACTGAGTTGGTTAACTCACGTTTCCTATAATATGTGTAACTGTTGTATATGGCCTTCTGCCCTCTTTGATCTGCATTGAAAAGATGATTATTGGTTCTAAACAAATTTCACGTATTTAAGAAAATGAACCAAGAATTGCATCCGTAGCCAATTGTTTAATAGCTAATTGAGGGGGGGGGGGGTCACAATGAGTCTGCGCAAACTGGTGTTACATATATCAAGTTCATATTTTTGCTCCGACTTCTTTGTTGCAGCGCAAAAGTAAATGGATATAAACGAAACGAAAGTGTGAAAGTGAGCAAGAACTAATGGCCAAGCGGTCCAAGATAAATGCTAGAAATTAGGTCGACCGGTTCGGAGTAGGTTCAAGACTCCACCTACCCATGTTATAACATGCTAAAATAGGGTATCAGCCCCTATTTTTGCATGTTATAACATGTGTAGGCGGGAGGCTCGAACCTACGACGAGCCGGTCGACATAAGGTCTAGCATTTGTCTTAGACCACTTGGTCATTAGTACTTACTTACTTAGGGCAGAACGTGCGCATCCGTCTTTACTGTAGTTAAGCTTAACGATGAGCGCGAGAGGGTAATATGCTCGCGGGATGTCGGATTCAATAACCCATACGAGATCACCCGTCAGATTGGGTGTTCCACTTCGCACGCTTGTTCAGTAAGGGGACATATTCTCGTAGCCAACAAGACAATATTAACGTCCGCATACGGTCGAAGTGTTCGCCAGCAGATAGCGAAGGAAAGCTTGCGGCATAGCGTCCAAGCAAAACGTGATTGGGGGGCTAACGCTTCTAAATCGCGCGAATCGGTACTTACTGGAGTGATCGGCCTTGCATTCAAAGCCTGATCCACTAAGCAGAGTTTTGTTCCTCGCACTTTTTCTGTTACTGTCCTACTGCCTAGTATATCGTGGAGCACACGTTTAACACTACGGACGAGACGCTTCCAAGAACCGCCATGATGTGGTGCTCTGGGAGTGTTAAACTTCCAGGCAATACCTTCATGTGCAAAGACGGTTGGAGCCACGTAGTTTCAGTTCATGATACATTCAAGAATTTCCTTATCTGCACCAACAAAGTTTGTTCCGTTTCCGACCAAAAAATGCTGTGCAGTGGCGCGCGATAAAAAAAAAGCTCGGTGCCCATCACACATGAGCTGGTGTCTAGTGGAGGCACAACCTCGAGGTGTACAGCCCTAGTGGTGAGGCAAGTGAAAAGAAAACCATCTTTTCTCAGTGCTCTTTGGAATGGAACATAATATGGTCCAACATATTCCACGCCTGTAGAGGCGAAAAGTGGTTGCTTATACCCGAGGCGTTTGACGGGTAAATCGGCCATAATCGATTTGACCGTGATTGCTTTCCGCTTTCGACACGTAACGCACTGATTTTCAGTAGACTTCAGTAGTCGATGCAACCCCAGTATAGCGTACTTCAGGTCAATCACGGAGCGCATGTGGTCGAACCCTTGGTGAAAACCCTAAATTCCGAGCCAACAACCGAACTAAAGTATGCCGGTCGTCAAGCAAAATGGGGTGTTTGGTATCAAATTTGGTGTCATTTTAACTTATGCGGCCAATGGACCGAAGAAAACCAGCCGGCCCTAAGAACGAAGAGTACGTTGCAATCTTGTTGTTGCTCTTATTGTGTTTAACAGAGGTAGTAATTTCACTTCGACTTGAAACGAGTCGATTTGCGCAAGATGTACAAGCTTCTTCTCCGCTATATCTAGCTCAAGTAGATAGGTGAACTCAATGCTGGTACCGCAAATTGTGCATGTGATGGCAGCAGCCTCAAGATAAAGGCAATTGTTTGCTTATACCTTGTTGAAGAATCGAATTTTTCCCAGTCAAATCCTTGATCCAGTCTTGACTGACGCAACATCGGTGAAGAAGGAATACGATGTCTCCAAACACTTATCTACATCGCATGACGGACAGTTTAACCTGATTTAATTGATATCACCTCTTGATTGAGTTTAAACGGCCACACCCTAGTCCTACGAATGGCTGGCCCAAAAACCCAGCTGCTATCCTTGAGGGCTTCTGAAGAAACCCCTCGCGGACCGGTATCAGGATAATCGCCACTCAGGACATGGTTAATCTTGTCAACGATGGTAGATTTGAGTAATCCGCCGACACGCCGACACAGTTTCCGACGAAGACAGTAACTCATCATTAGAATTTAGCCAATACAGCACAGTGGTGCTACTTGTCCACAAAGATATTCACTTTAACGCTAAGTGCCTGCACAATTTTGACTTTCAACCATGTGGCAAGTAGAGCAGCTTGAAGCTCTAACTTGGGTATTGACAACGCTTTCTCTATCGCGAAACGCGCTTTACCGAAGACAAAATAGATTATGAGTCGCGCACGCAAAAACCCAATGACGCAGAAAACATCGTGCGAGTTATCACCGAACAGGTTAAGCTCGATGCGATCCACAGGTTCTGTGAAGTAACTGCGGGGAAGTGTCAATTGACATAACAGAGGGAGGGAGGCCGGAGTGACACTCGAGAAGCTTTCCCTTATATCTTCAGGTAAATCATTTTTCCATTTTTGGCCACTTATTCGCTAAGTGTCTTTGAGTAAAGACGAGCCGTTACGGAGTACGGGGCTACTAGCCAAATTGACTTCGGGGTTCATTACAAAGGTTATTTCTTCAATCTTACTGACAAACTCAGTCAAAACAAAAACAACTAATTTAAGCAATTTTACCAAATCCCGACTAGTTTTAACTGCTTGCTCGATGTTTTCGAACGATTCCAAAAAATCGTCCATATAGAACTTTTTGGCAACCACTGATGCTGCTGCAACTGCCACAAAAAATGAAGCGAAGATTGATCTTGGCCGAGGACTCCATGGAAATACAAACCCTCTACATCCGCAGAGACGGCGTGCACAAGCAGTCGGAAGCGCAATAGAACGAACATCAGGTTTTGGATTATGTCTGGACCCACCAATAGGACTTGATTTGAAAATGGGTCATGCTTTACAGCCCCGTTATACACTCGGCGCAGAAGATACCACTCTCGATCGGTTCGCGAACGTGGATCATAAGGTTCGGCGTTAACGACATGACCTTTCTTGATGTCCTCCCTTATTGTATCTGCGTATCTTTCGCGCAGCTCTGGGTCTTTACTTAACCTTCGCTTCGAAGTTTTAAATTGAGCGAGCTATGAAAAATAATGATTAGAGAGACAGACAATTTTATCAGCCCAAAGCAGGGGCACGATGTATTTTCACCATCGTGGAATGTTTCTGAAATAAGGATGGATAAAGCGCGTTTATCCGCAGAAAAACAGGCATCGACTTGTTTAAAGGCTCCATAAGATTCCAATTCATACCAAGACTTTATCTGGTCAGTTAAAGACGAGTCTTCATTAGCAAAACTAAAGCACGAACAAGTTGACCCGGCGGACAGTGGTAACGGACCACAAACGACCAAACCTATCGGTAGGCGGTAGGAACATATTAAGTTAGTCTTCTCCTAAGAAGAATTTAATCGGACCAAAGGCGTGGTAGTAATCCTGTCCTAAGATAACTTCTACATCTTCAGAGTTGTACAGTAAGGGCTTTATAGGAGGATATTTATCCCGCTACTTGATACATTCTGTACCAATGAGAATGTTGTAATCCACATATGCCTCCATAGTGAAGGATAAATTAACTTTATTTGGTTCAGACGAGACATTGAATTTGACTCGCTGAGTTTCGATGACGTTTAGGGCATGGAAACCACTGATAGAAAAAATAGTATGGCTCACCAACCTACTTTAAGCGGCTAGCGACAGATGCCGATACCCAAGAATGTGTAGATGCTCCGTTGCAAATAACCAACTTCTGGGCACTGGCGCTATCCGAAAATACACCACCTGTTGCAATTGGCAACAGTCTTTTCGGTATTTCTTTGTAATTTTCTCTCCTTACAGCGGCATGAGTGGAAACAGATTTAACATCTTTCGGTTTAGATTCATGTTGTTTAGTTGATGTTGTTTACTTGATGTCCCTACAGCGGCATGAGTGGAAACAGATTTAACATCTTTTGGTTTAGATTCATGTTGTTTACTTGATGTTGTTGTTTACTTCATGTTGTTTACTTGATGTTTAGATTTCAAGTTGTTTACTTGATGTTTTTAATTTGGTGGAAAAAAAATCTTTCAAGACGGTGAAGAAGGACGTTGTGCGTGTTCTCACAGTGCTGATTTGGATATTTCTTTGTTCTTTGCCTTCGTGCAATTAGAGAAGCTATGGTTCCCATTGAGGCAAGCAAAGCAAAGCTTTTGCTCAGCTACAAATTTCGCTCGCTTAGTATCTTTCTTTTCCTTGAACACAGCGCAAACCCAATGTGCATGCTTTACTTTACTCAGCGGAAAATTAGGCTTGCTTTTGTTATCGATAGGGCTTTTATAGTTAGATACAAACACTTATTTTCGGTTTATACTGTTTCTTTCTTTGGTTTGAGCAAAATCATAGCGCGCTCTCTTTTAACCAATTAGGGAGAGAGAGAGAGAGAGAGAGAGAGAGAGAGAGAGAGAGAGAGGAGAGAGAGAGAGAGAGAGAGAGATGGCTTAATTGATCGAAAAAAAGTTGTAACCCAAAAAAGTATATATTCCGGTTTGCTAACGCTTGCTAATCGCAAGCGTAATAACGGTTCCAACGAAGACACCTCTCAAAGAAGAGCAACTGCAACGCCCATATCCCACGGGACAAAAAACTTCATACCCCCCTCCTCGCGAAAAATCAGCGCATATGAAAAGACTGTTTTTGAAAAGAGGGTGCTCAGAGCCGCCTTGCGCACTGCACTCGTGTTATTCTTACTAAATGTCCGTTCCCTGCTGCCGCTGGATCTAAGGGATATGTAGAGAACTAAAAACAGCTACTACTTCCTGAAACAACCAAAGCACGCTCCCTGAAAAAACTAGAAGAAACAGTACAAACCAAAAACTAACATCTACTACTACCAGCACAAACTACAACAAGTACATCAACTAATAACACTTCAGCCAGACGACCAAACCGAAGCACTTCTAAACTCAAGCATTAACAAACTATTCAGCAACCACAAGAAGACGAGGAGAAATGTTGGCAGCTCATACGCACCTTGAATGGAACACGACCCAAATATTCGATTCCATTTACACTATCTCTCTTAGCACCATAGCCAATGTTTTCAAAACTCAACTCCAAAGAGAACTCAGAAGACTAAAAATGATGCCAATTTACAATGCATCCCAATTTTATGCTGAAGAGATTTGAATAAATCTATCTGAATAGTTCTATACTGTCAAGTCGCGTACTGTCGCATTTTATCTGAATGCAAGCGTCGCGCCTTTCCCGATCCTTCGGTCGGCCCAGACAGGCTCACAAAAGTTCATCTGAAGCGTTTGAGTGACAGTGCCTCTCAATAATTGACGTAAGCAACCAACTTAAATCTGCGATCTTTAAATACCTTCCACACGGAACACTGCCATGCGACTACTGCCTTTAGCAAAACCCAGACAGGACGCCATTCTTCCCACAGTATACAGCCCTATATATCTACAAAGGTAAGTACTAAGAAAACTTTAGCAATTTTCAAACCCCTCCATTATACCTGATTGAAAGAACAGCCCTGCATTCCATTAACAATGTACTTGCCTTACTAACTCTAATCAAGGCTTCAACCAGAAAAGATCCCATAAAACTGTACTTGCAGCCTGTGATCTCTCTGAAGCATTTTACTGCGTAAACCACCACGCCACTATACACATAGTCGAACATGACCTTTTTCCAGACTCAGTCTGCTGATGACACGCAAAAAGTCTTTTCCAATCATCTCTCCAAATCTAGGATAATCAGCAGCGGAATCCCCCAAGGATCAATTATCGCCTCGAAGCTTTTCAATTTCTATACTAGCGACTCACCAGCCCAGCCCTTCTACAAACCGAAGCCATTTATCATGCACAGCCGATTTTAATACAGTGCTGATTTAAATTAACCGGACAAAACGCGATAAACTTGAAATTTAAAACGCGTTTTTCTCAAATTAGGTTGAGTTTAGGTGAAAATTTATGAAGACAAAACTTGCTTAAAATTTTAGCAGAATTAATATGGTGTAATTTGTTTTGCAAAACTCGGGCCCAAAATTTTACCCCAAAAATGGGTCATTTTGGCTTTTCTTAGTTAATCAAAAATTACGCCAAAAATAACGAGTCGATCACAGACATATTTATATCAAAGTGAGCCCCTTACGTAGCCCAACAAACCGAAACAAATTCTCCAAAACATTGTATGAACTAATTTATTTTTGTTTGATAGACAAAAAAGGTCTTTTTTACTATATAAAATACCCACTTTTGATTTAAAAACATTTTTTAAACGTTTTGCAATTTTTTTTTGGAGAATATACCCTTCTTAAAGTTTATTGGGCTACGTAAGGGGCTCACTTTGATATAAATATGTCTGTGATCGACTTGTTATTTTTGGCGTAATTTTTGATTAACTAAGAAAAGCCAAAATGACCCATTTTTGGGGTAAAATTTTGGGCCCGAATTTTGCAAAAACAAATTACACCATATTAATTCTGCTAAAATTTTAAGCAAGTTTTGTCTTCATAAGTTTTCACCTAAACTCAACCCAATTTGAGAAAAACGGGTTTTAAATTTCAAGTTTAACGCGTTTTGTCCGGTTAATTTAAATCAGCATTGTATACATCCAAAGACCAAACAAAAGCCTCATTTTCATTCCTCTCTATCAACTTCATCTTCCATTTTTTAAACAAAAAATTTGCCCTGGAACTTTCTTCTCTATTTATTGTCACGCTTCTTCCCTGATTCAAAGAACATTTAGGAGCACCAACCCCCTCCCCCCCAATCAAAATCCAAAATAGTGAACTATCAGGTTATCTAATCGGACTTAATTTTGACCATTGTCTTAAATACTCCGACTCGGGCCATTGACATTGAATGAAATCCATCTTCCCCAAATATTCGCTACTGAACTACCCTCAACCGAAAAGCCCGCTGCAGCCTATCACATCGTGCCGGCTACTGTCAACTACTTAATTCATGCCTCAACAGACTCAACCAAAATACCATATCCATGTCCAAAGTTCTTCAACTCCTCTTTGGACACTAACCACCTGTTCTCCTGCCCCTATAAACTGCCAATTTGACTTAGCTCTCGTACCGATCCTGTCCAGTCCTGCTATTAAACCCAATTCCCATTTGACAGCTTGATGTCTCGCCGAAAGATGCGAAGACACCAGAAGCACTGACACATTCACTCATTCCCATTGACACAGCAGGTCTCCATTAACGAACACCGAAATAACCAATCGCACTGCGCCAGAGAGGCAACAAAAATGAAACGGTTCAGGCAGTGGATGACCATAAAAAAATAAAAATCCGTAAAGGTCGTTATAAGGAATATCCTAAAATATTTCTAACTTCTTCAAATTCTTCTTCATTCGAGCTTCCTGGGATTTGGCATTAGTTCAGTCGATTGCCAAAAATTAACAAATAAAAGCAATAGCAGGAAATAATCTAATTGTGGCATCTTTTCAGATTGTTTCGAAGATGCATGAAAACATTTTGCATTTGAATGGAGACGACACACTTACTGCTTGGTTTCCGTACGTATTGTCCCTTTGCCTATCTTGTTTAGAAAGAGCGTGTTCTAGACTCGCGGCCGCCTCTTTCTCCTCTATAGAACACTCTGACTCTGTCTTCAGGAAGAATATCTGGAGCACCAACTGGAAAGGCATCCTGCAAATCGGACACGAACTGTCATTCAGTTTCATCTTCATCGCACAAATGGAGCAGCAAGTCAAATGTCTACATGGCAGAAGCACCGAATCCCTCAAATGAACAAAACTTGACAAACAGATAAAAATTGTGGTATGTATGATAGATTTATTCATGTGTAAACAATTAGTAGCAATCGAGCTAACTTTTAATTTCAAAGAAAAACTACATGGCCCTAAAGCTCTCTGAAATGCAATTACAATTTTCGATTGGCTCTTTGTTAATTTTACCCCAGTTGAGAAAACATGATCAAAAAGGTAAGTTTTTCATTCCGCTGGGAAATTTAACACAGAGGCGAAGCTGCGATTCGCAAACACTAGCGACAACACGACAAAAAGCAGCTCTAGAAAAAGCAATAAGAAAAAATAAAAACAAGCCTCGAGTTAGTAAACATTCGGTGACGTCTCGGACTCGAGCCTACGACCTAGAAATTTTTAGTCCCACGCACTAACCACTCAGCCACGGACGCTTAATTTATAACGAACAATAGCCACAAATAAAGCCGAGAACAGATGCTATGAAATTTCCAATGCTACAGACACACACGTGAACAGTTTTAATAAACACTTTTTATTGCGAGTTCGGTTAGAAAAAAGATAAAGGTCGTACTAAAACATTAGCTGCCGGCTAGTGTAAAAAATAAAATCCACTTTGGAAACTAGAAATTGTTCACATTTCTATATTTGCAATTTCGCAATTAAAAAGCGCAATTTTCCTTGCTGTTAGAAAACAAATTTGAATTGAACTTAGAAAGTTAGCACATTCAAACCGCGAAAAAACCACAACAGTCAACAGATGGTCAGAAAAAGGAACGTGAAAATCATCGCTGTGAAAAATGAAAGTTAAAACCCACTTTCAAAATTATAAGTCGATCACCTTTTTCGTAGCATTTCTACTTTAGCTGTTCGATAGTTGGCGTTTGTTTCCTTTTAACAAAGGAAATGAAGTGATTTAAAAAAAATCAAAAGTAAAACCGCAAAAATCAACTTTGAGCGTAAGCAAATTCTGAGACTTTCTAAAAAATTCTACGTTCATTGACTCTTAAAAGAGATCAAGAAATCAATCAAAATCAGCAGTTGCTTGGCTGATTTTGAAAATTGGAAAATTTTTGAAAATTGGAAAAAAATTTTGTGTTCATTAGAAGTTTTTTTTAAGTGTACGCCTAGCTCGCATTTAAGGAGTGTGAAGGAAGCGCTGATACTATGTATCAAAATATACACTAACATTGGTTCCTCCAAGCACATTGTGCAGTCCAAACTGGGGGACTTCGCACGGGAGGCAATTGCATCCTCCTCTGCCAATCCTCTCTCTCCGTCTCCACTATGTTCAGTTGTTTCTGCAATGGCATTATATATCTCCTGCATCAAATACACTACTCCGTTGCTGCACTGGTAGAGCTTCTCCAGTTTGACAGAATACTGACTGCCACTCTGAAACGATTGCAAGCTGAGATTATTTGGAACGAAAACATGGTGGCAGGACAGTTTGCCCTATTCCCAACTACCCTTTACCATTCTACCCTATACCATTATACCCTATACTAATCTACCCTATACTAATCTACTCTATACTAATCTACTCTATACTAATCTGCCCTTTATACCAGTTTAACATGTGTCGATTTGGAGCTTAATGAAATCTTTCAAGTCCTAATAAGAATCGGAATGATAACAGCACGTGTTAATTCATTTGAGTCCAAACTTTTGGACACAATTTGATTCTTTCACTTCAGGAAATTGTTCTAAAGACTAAATCACAAATTAAGCCTCAAAATCTAAAATTTGTCTCAATTAACAGGTTTTAATCCCCAATTTTCAAAATCACGTAAAAAAATGAAACAAAAACTAGGTCTTATATCAATTTTCCTTGGAATTACATTTACCAAAATGAGTCAGATTTCTTGGGTTCTATCCCAACAGAATCGGAGAACGCTTGTAATTGGTGGCCACGAGTTTACCAAAAAACAGGAAACAAAAAATGGAACTGGAAGTGTTCAAGGTGGGGGTCCCATAAACGCAAAACGACAGCAATAACCCGAGATAACGATCTTATTTCCTGTACAAATGAACACACTCACGAAGTATTTCCTGGTCGTTCAGATGCAAGGCTTCTCGTGCAGAAAATGAAACAAGACACAAAATTCAGCAAGTACCAGTCAATAGCAACATTATAGCAAACGGCCTGCAGCCTGTGTCCGAAGAAAAAGCCGTTTAATTAGCTCTTCCTTGCCGGTCGGTGATTAATCGGGCCCTCAATCGACAGTAGATAAATTAGAGACCCACAGTGCCTCCAATTGCCGACAGATATTTTGAGGAACCAAAACAACACGAGGATTTTTGCGTCTTCAATAGCTGCATTGGAGATCCAGAAAGGATGTTGATTTTTCGTGATGTTTGGCTGTGTGATGGAACATTCAAAGTTTACCTTGTTCAACTTTATCAATTTCACACCATTCACATTCAACTCATTGGATTTTACCCCCCCCCCCTGCATTTATGCACTGTTGCCAAACAAAATGAGCATACTTACGAAGAGCTACTGAAGGGATTATCAGCCATCACCGAAAACACCGAGCCTCATCGCATTCTCCTCGATTTTGAACTTGCAGCAATAAATGCTTTCGCTAATCATCATACCGGAGCGTTGCTTAAAGGCTGCTATTTTCATTTATCTCAAGCGTCCAACCGGAAAACAAACGAAGTGGGCCTAAAACGACTTAAAGAAACTAATCACGAACTCATTGCGCTTAATTCCAGCTCTACCAGTTTTGTACCAGTTGGAATGGTCAACGCTGCTTTTGACTTAATTATTGAGGACATTGAAAAAGTGTCCGATAAATTTGATCTCGAAGACAACATCAATGAAAAACTTGATGAGGTAGCCTCATACTTCCAACGCACCTACATCAAAAGCCAAACCATCGGAAGGAATTCTCGCGACCCCTTTCCAGTAAACCTTTGGAAATATTCCGAAGAAACAGCTACTGGAATAATAAGGACAACAAATGCTGTAGAAGGCTGGCATCTTGGCGTTGCTACTCTATTTAAAGGAAACCACCCCTCCATTCACACCTTTCTGGAACAATTCAAATTGGATGCTGCCATTCAAAAAGTCAATATAATTAAAGCAATGGGGGGAAACAGCAACCCCAGTCCCAAAAAAAAACAGGGAATTGAATGAGAAAGTGAAAAACATTTGCAACACTTATAAAAAAAATTCTATTTTAACATAATTGTATTCTCTCGCGCAATTAAGTCATTCTTAATTCTGTTTATTTTATCAAACTTTTTGAATTTGTCAAAACTTCAATTGAATTTCTGGAAAACATACTTTTTGAGGTTCCCGTGGCCGTAGGGGGCTGATATTTTGGGAGGTAAAAGAGGCCAATATCAAAAGAATCTTACTTTCCCCTCACCCTGTCCCCCAGTACCACCTTGGCTTAGTACTGAGGGGTCTACCCCTCCTTTTGTGATCAACTAGTCAAACCTTCAGTAATTTTCGAATTTCATTCAAAATTTGACTTCTTGGTGATTTGCTCTTTCGAACTTTTGCTTTAACAACACATGCACTATCCGCTAAGCTATGACGACTTGATGTGATGTGACTTTTGTTTGTTAAAAAAATAGCCGCAACGCATTTCTATAGCAAAATTGGAATAAAATTTTTGTTCGTTCAGGCTTTGAACGCATTTCCATTTTGAACAAGCAAATTTCACGTTGCTTCGATATTTTGTTCACGTGAGTGAATAATTCTTTGATCACAATTAATGGTTCTTTGATTTGTTCGGAAATATGATGTTTCGGATTCTCAAGAGGATGCGGTAAGTTTCAATTGCTTTAATTATAGGGTAGAATGGTAGAAGGTAGATTGGTATAGGGTGGATTGGTATGTACGATAGAATAGTATAAAGTAGATTAGCACAGGGTAGATTGGAAAAATGTAAAATGTCATGGAACCGAAAACAAGACTATTCATGACATGAATTTGTCTCACTCCTATTTCACCTATTGACAACTTGAAGCAGATGCCAAACTCTTACTACCGATAATTCAGATATCGTCAAACAGAGAGACTTGATTTCACCAACGAAAAAAAAACACCAGAAAAAATAAATATGTAAGATAATCCATAGAAACTGCTATCAGCAAAGTTGACATTAACAAAACATAGCCAGCAGGCAGTTGGAAAAGAGTCAATGAACGCAAACAGAAAAAAAATAATATGGCTTGTTTTTTGATAAAATCTCAACTTTTGAATTTCAAATAAAGAACAGATGACCTTGAAGCTCTTTGAATTTCAAGAACAACTTATGATCGGCAATTTCTCGATAAAATTAACCCAATCTGAGAATAGATTAATTTTATTTCGCTGGGAAATCTGATAATTAATTTACATTTTCGAAATTAGAGGTCAATGTACACTAAAAAGAAATCAAGTCAAACCGCAAAAAATTGAAATTTAGCGTGAACAAAATTTAAGACTACTTTTTCCTGCAAAAAAATCTTCAAGACCTATATGCAGTAGCGGACTTTGGAGGGGGCGGGAGGGGGTTCAACGCCCCCCTCCCCCTCAGGGATTCGACACTCTGCCGACCCAAAGGGTCCCCACTTTGTACTATCTTGAGATATCCAGTTTTGGCTGGCTGACCTTAAAACTTTTCTAAAGGCGCGTTTGGTGCCAATCTATGCTAATTTTCAGGTGGGAGCTCGCGCCAAAAAACGCAATTTTTTGGTCAAAATTTTCCAAAAAAAGCCTAAAAATTTTTTGGTCTGTTTTTATTTCTAAATTTTGCCTGCGGCTCATAAAAGTTGGCCAAAATAGGGATTTTTTAGTTCATTGGGAGAGCTCGAAAAATTAATTTGGTCGACCTAAATAAATTTTTTTGAAAATCCCCTCCCCTCGAGAAAACCCTAGATCCAATCCCGACACTGAACAATTAAGATTTGAGCTTCCGAATACAAAAGTCGTTCCTGATACATTTAGATATCTCTGTAGCACTTGCTAATTTCGTCTAAAATCTTACAACAGACTGTTGAAAAAAAGTCAATGGACGCAGGTAAACAAAGAAAAACGTGTTTATTTTTAATAATCCCAACTTTCGTTTTTCGGAAAAAAATAGATGACCTCAATTTTTTTTTATTATATATACTAGCGTGTATATACTACCCAACAATATATATACTAGCGTGTAACTCACCACCGGTGCTTCGAATTTTTGACAACTCAGGAAAAACCGCATATACAGGAAACCAGATCTGCAGGCTTTTCCTGTACTCTGACAGAACCCAATTACATGGTAAGGAATTTCAAATTTTAAGTTTTGAAATTTATTCGAAAAAGCACAAAAAACGTCATATGTCAAAAACTACAAGAAGTTGAGCAGTCACACTTGGAGACAAGATTCGTAACCCCTGAGAGTAGCCTCAAATCACACAACTACAAGGCAATGCATTTCAAACTTTGAAAACAAAAATTACATCAAGTTTTTTTGAAAATATTTCGAAAAAATCACAAAAAAACGTCATATCTCGAAAACTACAAAGATTGGAGCAGTCATAACTGGAGCCAAGGTTCGCAATCCCTGAGAGTACTCTGATAGCCCCATATTACAGGGTTGGGAATTTCAAACTTTGGGAAAAAAAATCGTTAAGTTTTCTGAATTTTTTTAAAAAATCACAAAAAACGTCATATCTCGAAAACTACAAGGATTTGAGTAGTCATAATTGGAGGCAAAATTCGCAATTCCTGAGAGTACCCTGAGAGCACCCAACTACAAGGTAAGGAATTTCAAATTTGGGGGAAAATATTTCAACTTTTTGAAAAAATCCATAAAAACGTACCTTGACAGCACCCAACTAAAGGGTAAGGCGTTTCAAATTTTGAAAACAAAGTATACATCAAGTTTTTTTTGAAAATTTAGGTTTTAATTTAGAAAAAAATATATCAGAAAAAATAGAAAAAAGATCGAAAAGAAGGATTGAAAAAGAATTGAAGATTGAAGAAATTTAAAAAAAAGTAGATTCAAAAAATATACAAAATAGAAAAAAAAAGATTCAAAAGAAGGATAGAAAAAGATTGAAACAGAAGGATAAAAAAGACAGTAAAAAGATAGAAAAAAAATATTGAAAAGGAAGGATCGAAAAAGAAGAATCGACAAAAAGATACAGAAAATTTTTTTTTAAAAGATAGCGACAACAATCGAAAAAAAGGTTGAAAAAGAAAGATAAAAAAAAGACAAAAAAAGAGAACAAAAGATCGAAAAAGGATGGAAAAAGATAGATTAAAAAAATCAAAAAAGAGTTATCGAAAAAGAAGGATCGATAAGATTGAAAAAAAGATGGAAAAGAAGGATTGAAAAAAGATAGAAATAAAAAGATCGAAAAAGAAGGATTGAAAAAAAAGATGAAAAAAGATCAAAAAATAATACTGA